ATTGTTTCGATTTTGAATTAATATAATTTTTTCATATTTTTTTAGTAATTTAATATTATATTTTAAAATCATAAATATGTTCCTTTAACTCAAATAATGCATTTTTGATCCAAAATATACTAAATTTGCGAAAAAAAGAACACGTTTTTTAATGAAACTATGAGTGATGGAATGTTTTCATTATGTTTCCAAGAAGAAAAAAAATCTGTGAAACACACCTTGTTACACAAACAATTTTTTTCCCGCACTGATCTGCGTTATACACTTTTTCTATCATGAAATAAGTTTTAAAATCAGTTTCTTTTTTAACCTTTATTTAAAAAAGTTTATGTTCCTCATTTCGTGACTTTTCGAATTTACAGAAAATCGGACTTATTTTAGGGTTTTATAGAAAATCCCGGAATTTAAAAGATTACATCGTCAAAATATTATGCGTGGCTTGGCAGTTATCAAAGCTAAAAACTAACGCTGCCATTTCGTAATCCTTTAAATACTTCATTTTTTTTAACGGAAGTATTTTTCTTACATTTTTATGTTGTACGGCAGGTAACTTCAAGGAATTTCAAAACTATAAAAATCTGAACGAGCTCTGGGGTAAAATTAATGTTGCGAAACACTTAAGAGCTTAACAATTCCGCTTCAATATTCTTTTTTTTTTCTTCTCGAAACAGTCTTTTCACGGTTATAACTTAAATGCTGTACTTTCCATAAGTTTAAGTGGCATCACTTTTATGCTTTTGGTGTTAAGCGGGTCTTGTAGGATTATGTGTCCAAATAATTTTCTTTAAATAACTCAGTTATTCGAAGGTATTTTATGTCAGCTGTATTTCATTGAAACCTTAAGGTTTTAAGCGGATAGTTGAAAATATAATTGTAATCAAATCAAGTTCTTTAAACAATTCAGTTATACTAAAGTATTTTATGTCAGCTGTATTTCATTGAGATCTCAATGTGTTTTTTTAACCGAACATCTAAAGATAAAGATGTACAAAAACTACTTAGAAAATTGCGTGAAACTTTTTAAATTTTTGGGATATTCAAATCAGACGTTTCTCATTTGCTGCCAACACGATTCACTGCAAAATTATGAAAAAAAAGAATTACATTTTTTTCGGAGCGTGCACTACCTTAAATACTACTTATAAACTACTTTAAATACTTATATAATGCACAGCTTTAAACGATTTTTTAAATTTTAAAGGAAATAATTTGTAATTAATCTTAAATTGTTTTTTTTTTTTTTTTNTTTTTTTTTTTTTTTTTTTTTTTTTTTTTTTTTTTTTTTTTTTTTTTTTTTTTTTTTGTAAAAATTTTGTTTTATTTTATTGACTATTTTTTAAGTTACAGCAGAAAAGCGTAGGACTAAAAAATTTGTTTTTTATAAAAATGTCTATATTTCTATAAATATTTAAGCTAGACTTACAACATTTTGTGTAATTATTTAACATAATAACCAAAATAACTGTCAAGCGTTGCAAATCTATTGTTACATTTTTTGACATAAGGTACTCAAAAACAATATTTTTGTTTCTAATTTACTGTCATTCCTTCAAATCTCATGGTATGTTCAAATGAATGGTTACAGAATGAGCGAAATGATCAGAGTATTTTTTTCATTTACACTGGGGAGCGTTTTTTTTTTGTTGCATTTATACGAGCACTTTATCTTGCCTAAAGCGGGTGTGATTACAAATCAAAAATTATTTTTGCTCCTAAAGCTGCAAATTTTTTTAGATGACATCTTAGCTATTCTTTGCGACAATGTACAAGTTTAAAAATGTTATATATAGCAGGAAGTTGCGTAAACGTTGCGACAGATTTCTCGGGGAGTTAGGGCTCATCATCGGAATTTAAATAGCTTAAATACCATACCCAAAATATTCATCGTTTGTGACTACTAGCGCTTTCCTATAATGACCTGTTTCGAAACACGCGTAGATATAAAAGGACAGCGGCTCTAGCGACGTACGATAACGTTTCAATTCTAATGATTTGTCCTGACTCCTTTCGAAGTTTCTTTCAACGTTTACGCAACCACCAAATAAGTATCAAAACTTCATAACTTTTGAAAATTAATTCATTTATACATAACTTTCTAAACTTGTACATTTAGTACGTTTCGAAGAAAATAGACTAAAAATGTCATTTTTTCGGGAGTTTCGCTTGCCAGTAGCTGAATGAAGCTGATTTGCTAACTGTCTGGCTGAACTGCACTGGTTCCTTTTTTATCGATAGCACTATATACCTATCTTCTACAGGCGTCTTACATAGAACAACCCATGAAGACAGCTACGCATTCCAGTTGCTCGAAATGATTTCCAAAGCCGGGAAACAGAACTGTGTCTAAAGTCGAACTCTTTGTTATTTTTCGGCATTTTCCCTTCTTCCCGATATTACGGCTTCGCGTAAAATCATCTAAATAAAATCGGCAAGACATATCGAAAATTACAAGTTCATCAATTGATTGTTTCCTGTTAAACTTTGATTTCTCATAGCAACGCTCAATGCGCGGCAAATTCTTTAAACCTCTTATCAGCCCTGTCATGTGACGAACCAATCCGACAACCAAAAATAAATTTGCTAACGCAAAACACGTTTTACTGTATCTTGCACTCATGCTAATTTTTACATTTATGCCAGTTACCTTTCCTTAGAAATTGTCCAGCAGTGTATTATAGATTGATCACACTCAATGAATCCTAGTTGATGGACTAAGTCAACCCTAGTTCGGCTTTATCCTGTCCCACCCCATTTCGGAGCATCCATGGAATACTGTTGAAGGATCGGTTTAGGCCAGATCCTCAATTCTGTTTTCAAAAATTCTTTTAAAAATCTCTTCAATTCCTTTCTTTATTTTCTTTTGGTTCCAGCTTCTTTCAATGGTATCAAAGTTGAAATTTCTAGGGAAAAATTTATTTCTTAAATCATCATAAACTGGACAAACAGTAAGTATGTGTTCGATATCTTCATAAGTTTTATAAACTTTACAGTTCGGCTCTTTCTCGAACAATTTTGACTGATAACTACCTTGGGCTCCATGGTTAGTTAGAAATTGATTGATATAGAAGTTGAAGTAGATTTTTCGATGACTGACTTTTGGGATAAATTGGTAAGTGTGCCGGCCCTTTGAATCAACACTATCCCATCTTTGCTGCCATGTTAAAAGGTTGTTTTTCATAAGTTCTGTTCTTGTTGTCTGTTTTGATGGTATGTCATATAGATCTACTGTTGATTTTTGACAAGCTAATTTGGCCTGTCTATCAGCTTCCTCATTTCCCTCATATCCTAAGTTAACCCTATTCGATTATCTCTCTATTTGAACTGAATCAATCCTCTTCAATTGATCCCACTAGATGGAAAGAATCAATTGAACTAAATTGGTCTCACTAAATAGACATTTCCTTTTCGATTGATCCCACTAGATGGACTGAATCAATCCTACTTAATTGATCTCACCAGATGGATTGAATCAGCCGTAATCAATTGTGCCTGTTTCATTAACTCCACTTGATGATAAAATTTGGTTAAAGAAATTTTTTTGAAAGCCTTCTATTTCATTCCTTGCACAGAATTTATACTCATCACTAAGATTAAAGCTTTCACAAAAGCTATAATCTATATATGTATTTCTCTTACACGGCGACAAAAAAAGCCTCATTGCAACTCCCCGAATGGCAACGCTAGAAAATCGACCCATGATTGCCGCTAAAAATGTCACATGCCAAATCTACTGAGATGGCTCAACATAAAGAGCGCTTAAAAACGGAAACTGAAATAACCAGAGAGAGCATAAGCTAGGCAGAAGTAAGTAGTCTTTTTCGATAGATCTCTATTTTAGTATTTTCTCGAAAGCGCTTTTTTTCACGAATTTATATATTACGAATTTATTNGACCAATACCGCACACCCTCGGTCCCTACGCAGACTGATCCAAGTAGTCACCCACCCGCACACTGACCGTAGCCAGTGATGCTTGACTTCGATTATCTGATGGGAACCTTGTCTTAACGATCAGTCCTCTGCGGGACATATTGTAATTTAAACTTCAGTGCTGTAACCCAGTGTTCCCCAACCTTTTTATCACCGCGGACCTGTCAGCGTTTGATAATTTTGCCACGGCCCACTGAGGGGCGGGGGGCATTGATTGTTTATATTTCAGATTATTTTGATTTTGTAATTTTAATTTAATTGTATTTAAACATACCTTTAAAATAAAATACAGTTACACCAAAAAATAAAGTGATTTAACATTTTAACTTACTTGAATGTTACATCAATGAGAAACCTGAGCTTGTTTCTTTGCAATAAGACGGCTCCATCTGGGGATAATCGGAGACAATGACACCCGAAGTGTGTTGCTTATCTCCAGTTTATTCCGTTGCTTTGTTTTGGTTGCTGTTACTGCAGAAAATCCCGCTTCACACAGATAGGTTGTCGGAAATGGCAATAGGGATTTAAGTGCTGTTGTGGCAATCTCGGGGTATTCTGCCAAGACTTTAATCCAGAACACCGGCAGAGTTGTTGTTTCGAACGTAGTCTTAAGGCCGCCGTCATTTGCAATCTCCAACAGTTGATCTTCTTTTCTTGCATTGACAAGCTAGATTCACCTGATTTGTTGGCAAATGGGTCGCGGATCCATTCCTTACCAGTTCCTGGGTCTTTTGTGGTTGGAAAGTAGCGCTCGAACTCTTTTAAAAGCAAAGACAGGTGATCGTGAACCAACTGGGAGAATGAATCTTCAGGCTCTGTCTCGCCTAAAATACCCGCTAATGTCTGAAACATGTCGAAAATGCCTCTGTTCACGCGTCGTCCCCATAACTCCAGTTTGGCTTTAAAGGCAGCTACTTTGTCAGCCAACTTGAAAACAGTTGTCATTTTCCCCTGATGGCACAGATTGAGTTCATTCAGCAGGTTGAATATGTCACACAGGTAAGCCAGTTTCGTGACCCATACCTTGTCACTGAAATGTGCTGCCAGCGGTGACTTCTTTTCTAAGAGAAATCATTGCAATGGCTCTCGCAATTCAAATACTCTCAGTAACGATTTTCCTCTGGATAACCATCTTATTTCTGTGTATAACAGAAGGCATCTGTACTCTGCGTCCATCTCCTCACAAAGCTGCTCAAACAGGCGCGAGTTAAGAGCGTGTGCTTTGATGTAGTTAATAACTTTAACGACATCAATCAATACGTTGTTAAATTCTGGTGACATTTTTCGGCTTGCTAGCACTTCCCTGTGAATGAGACAATGTGTAGCTTCACTCTCAGGTGCAACTTCCTTAATCCGAGCAGTTAAACCAGATAGACGTCCGGTCATAGCAGCAGCT